AGAACAAGCATATTTTCAGAAGAAAGCTCTTTAGCATTCGAATAAAAAAAAAAGACTTTAAAAGTTATTTCACACGTTGCCCGATAAGTAAAACCAAAACAATTTGGGCCTGACGCCGTTGCACACCCGTGGCTCTGGCCCGTGGACGGATCCACTCTTCAGCACTACATTTGCCACGGAGGCGGTGGTGGCGACAACGAAGACGCGAGGCTGTTGCCCCAGATCAGCGACGAATTGGACAAGCCGGTGCGAGTGGGGCAATGCACCCGCGGCTCTTGGCTTTGGTGCTCGCGCTAAAAAAGGATGGTTAATCTGTCATTGACTGGTAAGAATGGAATTTGGAAAACTTGAAGAACATCGAGAAGCTGATGTACGAACATTTATGGCGTACTCGCTTGGTACGTGGCTTCGCGTCCGCAATATCTCCTCTTGCAACTTCGAATACACCCGAGTCGCTGAAATGATTTTTAAATTCATTTGTTCTATCCAAATGCTAAAGAGCTTCCTTCTAAAATAATGCTTGTTCTCTTCAAAGTCGATATAGTCCTATAAAAAAATTTTGATCCGTTTTCAATCGCTTCTAATGCGGTACGGTCGGACATCATTTAGAGCCTCTGTCACTAGATGGCGAGTATATCTTTATCTGCAAATCGCTAGTGGTAAAGTGAAAATGAACGTATAAGTTCGTACGAGAGTATATCGCCCACGAATAAATTTTGAACATTGATCCCTGCTCTCTCACTCTGTGTCTATGTACTCGAGATCGCATCGAGCGAATAATGTAAACAAGCATTCATCGCACGATACAAAGCGAGATCTGGCGTTTCGCGCGAATACGGAATTCATTGACAATTTTAAAACACGTAATTAATTTTTTACAATTTTTACCATAGATCAGAGCCAAACATCAAAAATGTCAATCCCCTTTTCTGAGAAAGTCAATTGCTGGTACACAAGCAAAGAGCTCTAATTATAATTTTGACCTAATTATAATTTCTGTTACATGAAAATTTTGACCGGAGGATGCTTTATTGTCGATATTTTCGTAAATTGGTTATTTCTCACGGTTCTGTAGTTTTTTTGAAATACTGAAGTAGTTAATGCAAAAGAAGAGCAATATAAGCAAGAATGCAGTGAAGCTTTGAATATTTCATAAGGTGCATCTTGAAAATAAATAAATAATTTCATAAAAATTTTAAATAGTTAGAATTCTCATCACTCATCGTCAACTTCGAGCATTTTTACTAAGGCGGTGCTCTTCAAACAAGGCTGTGTTAGCTTGACCTCTTTCTTTATAATGCGTACTGGCTTGAGTTTATAAAAATTTTCCGTGCATTGTATAATCGAAGATTTTCGAATTCAATAAATCCGAGCGAACTTCATCGAGAAGCTGTAAAAATGTATAATCTTCGTTCGAATACGGATACGAAAATAAGTTTCCTTGTTTGTTTTCGAGCTTGTTATACATGTGGGCGCCCTTCTATGTGTGAAGGAACATTTACATTATGCGTAAGCATAAAAAACAAAGTACTTTTTTTTGTTCGAAGATCTCCCGAAAATCATATTATAATCAAAGAACAAATTTATGAAATCGAAATAATTTTAAGCTGTTAATAATAAATAGTCTGTCGCACCTCGTCTCATTGAAAATGAATAAGTTGTAAATATTATTCTCTCAAAAATCACATTCCTTTTTATACAGTAAATTTTCTCGTGTCCAGCACCTGGGTGTTATGGAAAATTCGTGGGAACTCGTCGTATCGGAAAATCATCGGTCATCTTGAATTTCGAAAACGACAACTATAAATAAACAATTAATTTCGCTTATTATTTATAAACGGAGAGTTTACAAAAAATCGATTTAGCGCATTCAAATACGCCTAGCTACATTGAGAAACACCGCAGTGTCCGAAATTTTTTACACGCCACATGTTTTTGTACACTTTAATTAGTCAAACTTAACGACGCATGCGTAGGTGGATCGCGTTTCTTGTACTTTTTACTTTCTCCTACGGCCATGTGCTAAGTATTCTTTACTTTCTACAGTCAGTAAGAGTTACGAGTGCGCAGTGTTAAGAACGAAGTATATATCTACCGGGCCGTACGTAGCACGTAGTTTTTGTGAATAGAAAAATATCTTGAATTGTGTTTGTCTGAAAGATGTCCTCGTCCAGCAGTGAATCCGATGAAGAAATTTCCTACCCTTCTTTATTCGGCGACGATGGTTTGGAAGAATTGGATCATAATGGCCAAGACAACTTAGAAAAATTGAAGAGCCTACGAAAAGAGGTTAATTGGGATATCGAAGAAGAGCGGCGAGAATTTCTCCGCAAACTTTATCGATTGATCATACATTGGAAGGATAAAAGTCCAAATCTCCGGGATATTTTCCAGCCCAAAGAAATCGATTATCTACTCACGGAGTCTGTCAAGACCGAGCACCACCGTACGTATAGCTTTAGATTAAATTCACTCGTCTATTTTGTGTCTAGAACCGGTTACAAGGACGAGCCCGAGGTAGATAAAGACGGCAAGCCATCGCCGCGTCGAACCACACCAGTTCATCTTGCGGGTAGAGGCTGGTATGCCTTCAACATCTTCGATTCACTTTTTAAAATTTATAACAGATTCGATGTGAACTACACCGATGACTTTGGATTTACCCATTTTCATGTGGCTTGTAAAAGGGGATGTGTATTTGTAGTGAAGAAATTTCTCGAGCTCGGACAGGATCCCAATTGCCTCGTGCCAGAAACAGGTGATTCGCCATTACACTTGGCTTTGAACTACTGGGATAACAGGACTGCTGAAACATTTGAATATTGGAATAACAGGACAGCTGGAACATTTGAATTCCTATTAAGAAATGGCGCCGATATAAATTTGCCTAACAAGAATGGATTGACTCCTCTGCATATAATATGCAGAAAATGCAAGGACAATGGTGATTGGTTAAAAAGGATATTCACGATCACCGACGAGAAACATCAGGTGGTGCACGTTGATCATCGGGATAAATGGGGCCAGACACCTCTTCAGTATGCTGTGACCAATGGCTTTAAATCACGGATCATTCGAGTTCTGCTGGAAAAGGGCGCCAACCCGAATCTGGCCGACGTGGAAGGATTGACAGCTTTACACAAGATTTGTCAGAGAAGATGGGACAACAAGATGGAGCTATTTTTTAAAATGAACGACGAAAAACATCGATCGTTGCAGGTCGACGCGAAGGACAATCGAGGCCGGACACCGCTGCATTACGCCGTGGTTAGTCTTCAGCCAAGCACCGTCAACGTCCTCTTGAATCGTGGGGCCGACCTATCTCGCTTCGTTTTCCCAACAGTGAGTGATTTTTACAAAGAATCGAGACTGAAGTCACGGGGATATAGTTTTAAATCAAGACTAGCTTTTGGCGCTATCGAAGTCGTCGAACATCTCGAGAGCAGAGGATACGAACTGGACCCTAGCGACGCTCTGACGATCATGAAATTGTTTGCCAAGTACAAATTGTTCGAGAAGACAGATTTTGGAAAATGTTGGTTGAAAGACGAAAAATTCATTAGCAAAGCGAAAAATCATATGATACCTTTGAATGCGCCGCCCAGCACACATAAATATGATCACGACGGCAATTACTATGACGATGATGATGATGAGAAGGAGGTAGTGAGAAAAATCGAAAGTCCGAGTCTGTCGGTCTACGATCTGATCCATCTGCAACCCAAAGAGGCGAAAAAACTTCTCTCGTGCAAGGACCTCTTTAATTTCGCGGACGCTACTTATCGCAATGAAAATTTTTTCAAAGCTTGTATTGTGCATCTGTGTGAAAAAATGTCTAGAGGATCTTTCCGGAGATGGTCTCTATATCAGTTTTGGGAGAAAATTTTACACCACCGGCTGCCAATTCTTTGCTGTGAGATGATTATGGACTGGCTGAATAACGAAGATTTATATCACATTTGCTCGGCGGCTAAGGGTCAAAGTCGTAGAAACAATAAAAAAGATGTATTCGAAAATATAATAAAATGTATCACCAAAAGAACTACAAGGATCAAGAAAACTCCGAAAAGGCTACAATATTAAATATGTACTAGAACTAGAATATTGAAAAAAACAAAATATTAAAAATTAAAGTTGTTGAGAGTAAAATAATTACAGTAATAAAAATAATGTATTACATTCAACATTTATCAAAGTCTTACATAATTATTCACATTCTTAACATCTGTTCAAATTGTAACGGTTGCGGACTTGGCGCTGGTGTGAGATGAGAGCTTGGTGGGACAAATAAGCGCGAAATTGTCACGGCTTTTATTACTATACGTTGAATTTTTCTTCAGTTGCTAATAGTCATTAAGCAAAGCCGTTGGCAGAGCCTTTTCGCCTTGGCCTGCCAAGCTCTGATTTCACGACAGCGTCAACGCTTTGGTGCCCAACTATTTACGTTGTACCAATTTAAAGTCAACCAGTTTTTAGTACAATAAATATTGATTGTTGTTTCTTTTTTGTTAAACGGAGTGCACGAATTTTATTAACACCCAGAGTTCAACTCCACTGCCTAGCACGGTAACAACATCCTTAATATGAATAAATGAAATTAAAAAATTAGCTCTGATTTTATTGTGATCTCACATAAAATATGAACTTAAAAAAATCTCAATAATTTTCGTAAAGGATTATGTGGCCACCGGCGAGTCATGAGCCACTGTTAGCTATTATTGAAATTAACATAGAATGAAAATAAAATTTTCATGACTTTTCATCAAAACATGAAAATTCATAAATCAAATGAGTAAAAAATAAAAAAGTAAAAAACTAAAAACAAACTAGAAACTAGAAAATACCAGCACAAGCATCGACGTTTCACATCATAATGCTCGAGAAACTACTCCGATTACTTAACTCAATGAGAAGGAACGATTTTAAGAGTGAGCACACTCATTGATCATGCACCAGATGTGAAACATCGATGCTCGATCGATCGTAATCACGGAACTTACCGGTGCAGTTGGGAAAATTGAGGGGCGCGTCGGTGGCGGGATCCTTGACGACGTCGGCGGCGGCGGCGGCCACGACCTCCTGGGGCAGGCTGCAGTTGAAGTTGTGCTGCCAGAACTCGTTGAACCAGGGATTGCGCGCGTTGTTGTCCGGATGGAGCGCGAGATAGTGGCTGTCGAACTCGGACACGTAGGGCGAGTGGATGCGCACCGACAGGCTGCCCCAGGCCTCGTTCTCCAGGTCGTGCACCACGTCGTCGCGGTCGGCCCATCCGTCGCTGCGTGAACACAAACAAAAAAAAAACACATAAATTGAAGAAAAGAGTTAATCGATATCTCAATCATAGCTAATTATGTACGGATCGTAGAGTCCAAGTGGACGTCATTGTACGGGACACTAACGAACGATCGATATACGAGCGCGTTGGAAAATTAATCTCTGGCGATCCGATCCGCAGGCGATACAACGAAGCTTCGCGCGTACATACCACTATAGTATATCTCTTACAACTATACGGATCGTGGCGAGGAAGACAATGGCAGCTCGTCGCATATTCATCCGGTTCGCGCGCATCTTGAATTTCCGCCCCGTGCATGTAGGTATATAGACCAAAAATACCGAGACACACATAACGTACATGCTGAGCGCTGTGTAGGTAGTAGGTGTAGTAGTAGGTGCTGCAGAATTCGCGCAATCATCGACGCTTTGTTTATGTAATTTCGAATATATCGCGTATGTGTGTACCTGAGCTTCGAACATTCGAGATGCGGAGGTTTGTTTGATGCGCGGGTTAGATACTCGAGCGATCCAAAGCCTTCGCGTGAAATTCATACTTGGTATTTCAGATTTTCTTTAATTTCTTTTCTTTTTCGCGTGAAACTTTTTATGAGGGACATTTGATAGCTGGGGGATTGTTCATAAAGAACGAGCGACAATCGTATTTTTATTTTTGTGTTCATAGTATATTTCTATAATACATGAATTTTTAAAAAAATGGAATTTTTCGGAAGCTTCACCTCGCAATTTTAAAAAGCGAGTCATATTTTCGTAAGGAAACGTAAATATAATAATTTATCGCGATCGAAGGTATGACGTTCGATTGTGAGCTTTACGATCCCATCGATAGATGGAGTACTGTAAACTCGCAAGAAATAAGTTCCGATTGGTATATCAATCGGTGGAAAACGAATTACCGCATTATCTATGTTATGGGTTTGATTCTTGGATTTAAAAAATTGCCCATATCTTCGCTTGAATAAATTCGTATTCTATTCAATTTTCTTCAATAGCACCAACAGAATAATACTTTGTCTGTTATCATTTGTAAAGGGAAAATACGACAAAATGATTCTATTATTATCGATGGTTTCGGGGCAAAAGAAAAAGAGATATTTCCTTTGCTACATATCTAATAAGATCAACGTGACGTAATTACAAGTGTCGTTTTATTCATCAAAATAGAGTAAAACAATCGACAGATATACGGTACATTTGTATGATAAACTGCGGTAAATTTGTACAACCGTTTATAGCGTCGCGCTTGAGTCTCGATATTACATATATAACAGAAAAAACTCGTCTCCGCGGAAGGCTCGAGCCGCGAAGCACCGAATGAATGACAAATGCGCGTATATATAACTACGTTGTAACGCTCGTAAAGGGGGGTAGACGAGATGAGCGAAAAAATCGAGTCGAGATCGCAACCTAATTGCCGCGCGACGTTCTGTAACGCAACGCGCACACGCTACAACACACACACACAGAGTCCTATACAGAAGAGAGATGTAGAAGCTCCGCGTGTAAGTCGACGTAAATTAATCGCGCGTACACAGTCGAGAGAAGCTCGCTGCTCCGTAGCTGTCTCTATGCTGCTGCTGCTGCTGCCGTTGTGTTGTTGCCGTGCGGCAAGGCGCCGTCTTTTGTGAATCCTCGAGGTAGTAGAGCAGCGGCAGTGCAGTGCACGCGCGCGCGAAATCAACCAGAATTAACTCGTTTCACTTGATTATCAAAACGCGAAGCAGCACCCCGTGTAAGAGACGAGATCGAGTAAATTTGTGCCAGGGCTTTACGTGCTCTCGCTCGTACATAAACTACGACGCGTTCTTGTTTCGTTATACGTATATAAAGTTAAATTGTAAATCTCGTATGTACGTACGCCGACGCGGCTAATAAAAGCCTCTTTTTGAGATTGTATCCCGAACTATTTTTGTTCGATACTTGCGATATTTTAAATATACGACACAAGCGAGAGAAACACCCCGGGTAAACAATTAACGATTTCGACCGGGCCGAGCAATAAACGCCGCGAAGCTTCATTAATCGCGGTGAACGAGATCGCAGCGATCGGTGTCGTGGCGCGCGGCTCGAAGAAAAGAGGGCAAAAACGAACCCGGCAAAGTGAATTACTGCGAAGGAAAACACACACACATACACATGGCCGCGCCACCGCGCGATAACAGCGCGTTCGACCTCGTTTCCGTAATTTTCTTCTTCCTTTTGTTCTTTTCGTCTCTCTTAGACCCGTGAGCTTTAATTTATCCCGGCGTTCCTATGTATATAGTACTTTCACTAATCTCGTTCGATTTTACGAAATTTTTATCGCTCGATGCGCGTATACACGTGTATATACGTACGACGTTTTACGATCTTTGAAGTTGATTTAAGGAGGCTCAACACATATAATACAAAAGATCATCCAACGAGATAAAACTCATATCAATCGATTTGTTAGAATCTTCAAAATGAGATTCCAAAAAAAAAAAACATGTGGTTCCGGGAATTCTGGAATAATTGGTTTTTGGCGAAAAATTTCATGATTGTCAAAACGTCACTTTGTTCCAACTCGTATTCTTGTTCTACGAGACGCGCGACGACCATCAGAGCGCGATACGCCAGCATCAATTTAAAATCATCAATACCTTTGACAAAGTATTTCTCTTCGGGAAAAGCGAAGTTTGACAGGTTAGCGCCACGCTTGAAAAGTATATCTATTAAGTCTGGATTAAGTGTTGCCACAGCCGCTTTCAGTGGTGTGTATAGCCCCATTGGTCTTGAGCATCGATTTTGACTAAATGTTTTTTTTTCGTCGACGATTTCAAAAAATAATTTCGCCATATTAGTCCCGTTGTGGAAATTTTCACAAATATAATGTAGAGGCGTTCGTCCTAACTTATTGGCTAAATTTGGATTACGTCGATTTCAAAAAATAATTTCGCCATATTAGTCCCGTTGTGGAAATTTTCACAAATATAATGTAGAGGCGTTCGTCCTAACTTATATTGGCTAAATTTGGACTACGCCTCTTCTCAATAGCAATTTCACAGCCTTCTTTTGATGGTGGACCAGAGTCGCAATTAGCGGTGTATTGCCGTCTATGTCTCGAGCGTCGATCTGTACCGGATGATATTTTTCGTTGCTGTACATGAATAAGATATTTACCAAGTCGTAATTAACAAGATCTCCGGCCTTGCAACGCAGACGTGCAGAGGAGTCGATCTGTCCTCGTTTGCCGCATTTGGATCGGCGTCGTGTCTCAGGAGAAATTCAATCGCGTGCTTGTCTCGGGCGTCGACTTGCACCGGCTGAAATTTTCGGTCGCTCATTTGAAACAACATCTTGGCGCTTTTTTCATCGAAGATGGACGAACTGCAAATAATATGGAGAGGCGTCGATCCATACGCATCGGCCAAATTCGGATTCGCACCTCTTCTCAGGAGCAATTCGCGATCACCTCTGGATTCTCGTAAGTCACGGAATAATGAAGCGGCGTACAATCCGTTCCTCGCTCTATGCAATTGGGATCATGGCCGTGATTGAGAAACTTTTGCACGATATAGTAGCAGCCGTACATGCAGGCCGCGTGAAAGTGCGTAAATCCAACTTCGTCCGTGTAGTTCACATCGAATCTGTTGTAGATTTTAAAAAGCTTAGGATTGTTCGTGATGTTTTGAATATTCCTGCGACCGAAAATTTGATCTTGTTTACCCAACACATGTATCGGTGTGACGCGGCCGGCCCGTGTTAAAATTGTCGATTTTAGCACGGGCTCTTATTAAAAATATATTTTCTGAAAGAGAAAGTTCCAAGCTTTCGATTGGTATGTTAAAAATTACCCATTAACGAACTAACTAATGAGTAATTAAACAAAATGTGCGTAAAATCATTGATTTCGAATAGTGCTAGCGGTTGTCTGACTAATGCTAGAAAGAGACAGACAGATGCCTCGCTGTACTATTTTTATGATTGGTGTAGAGCCTCCTTAAAATTTTAGGGGGCGTGTTAATATCGTATTGCGCATGTAATGTACTTTCTAATTCACGGTTCAAAAGAAGTTTCTACTTTAGGACACGATGCGCTGGTGAAATCGTCTTCGTTTCAAGTGTGACTACTCATCAGTCTGCGTTTCTCAGCAGTAGAGTGAAAAAGACACGTGGCCAACATTTTGATAAGACCGTACATGGAGCTGGTAGTAACCGATCTTTTTATGACCGATCATTGCGAGTTATATCTTCCGTACCTCGCTTGCCTAAAAATTGCCGAATACACGAGCGACGAGGGTTTGTTCCGTTTGTGCGGGCAGACGAATGAAAGCGATCCGAAACAACAACCGTTGACGGTGCGACAAACTTGTCAAACGAACGAAGAGAATATTAGTGCATCGAGACAACGACTGAATGATTGAAGAAAATCTTGAAAAAAAATGGAAATATTTTTGTAACGATAAGCTTGTGACTGTAAGTTTTCCGAAGTGCAGTAAAAAAAATTATTAAAAATTTCAACGTGTTTATAATTTAATCCCTGTGAATGATTGTTCCTAACATTTTAGATTATTGATAATTTGTCCTGAGTAAAAATAGACTTTTTACAAGCAAAGCACAAATCATAAATTTCTATTCTATCGTATTAAATTCATTTTCGGACGATCTAAGTATTCTAATGTCAAAGCGGGTGCGCGATCGCTCGACAATTGATGCTTGCAGCCGAGCTTGCAGCTAACAACTGTTGCTTATACACGTATATATAAGTATATGTAGCGCAGAAATGGATGAGCACAATTACGCCGAGAGCAGCAGCAGCAGCAGCAATTCCTCTGTCTGCCTTCGCGATCGTCTTTCCTACACACAATCGAGCCCCGAAGCGTCTCGAGCACTGGCCAAGTGAGCTTGCGAGAGAGAGAGAGAGAGAGAGACTCTTCCGTCCCGTAACTAACTTCCGTCGCGTATGTGCCCCGCTCCAAGAAAGATGCGTATTGTACGATTGCGTCGTGAGGCTATATAT